ACAAAATATATATATTCCAACCTACTCTCTCTCTCTCTCTCTCTCTCTCTCCTCCCTCCCCCTCCCCCCCATATTTTTGAACGGTATTGTTGTTGTTATTATTATTATTATTATTATTATTACAACGATATATATTTACGCTCTTCCCCCTCCGAGTTTGTCAAAGAATTGTTCCGATCGAATGTATATGACCGATTGTATATTTTGTTGCCACCTGTAAATTCGATTCTTTCTTCCGGTTTTTGAAAAGAGAAAAAAAGAAACTCGCAAAAAAGTAATGTATATATATATATATATATATATGTATATATATATATATCCTTTGAGCGAATTAATCTACTAATTAAAATGTGGAAGAGATTCTACTTTGACGCTTTTTCAGGTTCAAATCAGTTTTGCGGTCTTCCCCGACAGCAAGGTTGATTCAGGTAAAAAAAAAAAAAAAAAAAAGAAAGAAAGGTTTTTCACAGTTTTTGACAGTTGTTCGATCACCGAGAGAAATGTATATTGTTCCGAAAGAAATTTGTGAAAGGAAAAGAAAAATGGAGAATAATTTTCCTGGGTAAATAACGGGTGAAGCGCTTCTCGACTTCTTTCGACTGTGCCAACATCTAACTTGATTCCGCTAATTCGATTTAATTCGGTTCGATTCACGCTTCGTTTTTTTTTCTTTTTTTTTTTTTTTTATTTTTAATAACCGTTTCATTCCTACGTATCGCCAAAATTGTATGAGCCAAAATGTGTCCATCGATGGGGAGTCGATCGAAAGGAAATTTCGAGTGAAAAAGTATCTCTCGGGGATTAAATATTTTTCATCGATTCGTTAAAAGATTAGTTATTTTTTTTTTTTTTTACCTTCGTTCGAAAATTAATCTCGATCAATGATTTTATTTTTTTTACTCGGAATCCCGTTCGAAGTCTCCTCCTGCTGCATCGATCGAGGGATGAATTTTCGTTCAATTGATATCGGTGATACGTTGTTACATTCGTATGTACACACACATATATATATATATAAGTATACGTATAACATGAGAACCGACGCATATGTATGCTTTCTATACTCTCTGTGATATGTGTATGTTTCTTCTTTTTTTTTTTTTTCTCTCGAAAATACGATTGTCACAGGATTCGTTACGATTTCTACACCTTTCTCTCGGTAAAAACATCGCTTTTCAAAGCTTCTCGATATGTTTTTTTAATATATAATTTGCACGCTATAGCAATAGTAATAATAATAACACATGATGGTTACGGCATCATCAATGACAACAGGGCAATGAAAAATCGAAGAGAAAAAGAAGAAAATCATCATCGTCCTTTTTTTTTTTTTCTATTTTCTTTCTTCCTTTCTTTCTTTCTCCCAAATGACATCATCGCATCATCGTATATGTCGTATAATACTTTTGTGTTTCTCTCGTTTTTTTCCCCTTCTTTCTTTCCTTTTTTCTTTTCTTTTTTTTTTTCTTTTTACCAGACATTGACTGACTGCTATAAAGGACTCTGCATAATATATATGCCGATATTCCACATAGCAAATCTTAGAAATAATCATTAATGCGAAGAGATAGAGTACCTTGTATCTTGTTTTTTTCTCATTAATCAATCGTTTCGTTGTTTCGTTTAGCCTCGACAGATAGGAGATTACCCTGTTGTTGCGATTAATTTAATACGATCGATGTGATGCGGATTAGATTGGGGACGAAATTGAATTATAAGAAGAGAAAAGTGGAATAATTTTTCATTTTCTTCTTTACGATTTTCTTTTCTTTTCTTTTTTTTTTTCTTAGTTTGGAATATCACATTTTTCTTTTAATTCTTCTACCATCGATAATTGATCGAATCCCCCGTCGGCGTTCTGGCGGACGAGAAAAATATTTCTCTCAACGAGGTAGGATTTAAGGATCGAATAAACCCAGTGGAAAAGGTGAAAGCTCGCATTGAACTGACACGAAAAAATTTCTTTGTTGGAATTTTTAGATTACGTGGAACCCACAGGTATATATATATATATCATATAAAAAGAAAAAGAAAAAATTGCATCCTTAACACAATCCTGGATTAACCTTTCTTTTTCTTTTCCTTTTTCGTGTCTCTTAATAAAATAAATAGCATCGTAACAGAATCGAGACGAAGAAGGAAATTTCTCGCCGCCAAATTACTTTCCTCTTCTTTTCTTGTTCCTTCGGGTGGGGAGGGGGGAACACCAAAAGAAATTGAACTTGAAAATCTTATCTTTTTAGCGCACACGTTCGACGATGCGCGATCACGTTCGCTGCACACGACAAATGAAAAAGAGAGAAAAAAAAAAGAAACGTTGGAAGAATAAGTTGGAAGTTGATTATCGTTGGGGACACAGAAGACTGGTGATTACATTTCCCTCGCATGTCGGTGATTTGTAGATGAACGGGATGTGCGTGTTGGCGATAACGCGAAGAGGTACGGTTGGTGGTAGCGGTGAGAGGGGTGACAACGCCGATAGTAATAGCCCGTGCAGCAGCCCGTGCGGAGGCGACGAGGCCACGAGCGAGGGTGCGCCGTGCGCCAGCCCTCGGCCACGGAATAGTGGCGTGGTGAATGACGACGGCGACCTCGCCGCCTCCCGCAAATCCCTCACGGTCGAGCCACGCCGTGGCCAGGGGATAAGAAAGCTGCAGAAGTGTCTGAGCACCGCTACCAACCATTACGAGCTGGATCCTTCCCCGTTCAACAACTTTCCAACGGCTTCGCTCGTGCCTAGCCACCGTGGCGCCGAGATGCGAAGCTATTCGTCCACAACCGCCCCGCCACAACCTTCCTCCAACTACCAGAATATTCTCTCCAACACCAGACAGTATAACAGTTTCGGTAGTATATACCCTTTCGATGATCAATTATTAATTAAACGCTCTCTGCTCTCTACCTCATTGCTATATACGTATATGTATGTGTATATATATATATATGTATATGAATATACTTCTAATCTGCGTGTATTTTATATGTATGTATGTATGTATATATATATATATATATATACATATATAAGAGATCAAACGAACGAATCTATTCTTCTCCGAACCTCGCTTTTTTTCCTCCTTTGATTTTGAATCAAATTGTTGTATCGAGAAATTTCTTCTCAATAGGTTCGATTACAATGGAGACCAGCGATTCTCTCCATCTTGTTCTCGCTCTCTTAGAACAGTGTCGGGGGAGAAAGAAATATGCGTCGTCTTTCCTTTCTTTTCCTTTTTTTTTTTTTTCTTTTGTAAGGTTGGTGTTCGTGCCACTTTTTTCGCCATGTTACGTTCAATTCGGAATACTGTCTGGTCTCTTTCTCGCTGATTGTTATTAAAAAAAATAGTAATCCGGGCTCTGCATCGCATATTATCTTTTTCCTTTTCTTTTTCTTTTCTCTTTTTCTCTTCCCTAGAGAAGTTTCTTCGCTCTTGGTCAAAAACTACTTTCTCTCTCTCTCTCTCTTTCGAAAACAAAAAAGAACAACACAGAACAACACGGCACAACTTCCAATTCCAATCATGCGATTTTTCTAATTCTATCACCTCTGCACCTTTGATGAAAGATATTCTTCTTCTTCTTCTTCTTCTTCTTCTTCCGCGTTCTCTCTCCTACATACATTCTGCCTAATCTTTCGGTTTTGGCTTTTTCTTTTTTTTTTCTTTTTCCCAGATAAATGTTGCCCAGTGATAACGATTCAGTTCAATCTTCCGCTCGGTGTACACTGACTAAACGAAACGAATCGAACATGCACAGGATGTTGATAAAGATCCTGAATTTATTTCAAGCTATTATTAATAACAACGAATATTTCTTATATTGAAACTCCTTTTTTTATTGAAATCTTGTGCATACTATCACGCGGGTATACCATCATGTATGTATTCTGAATATATATATATATTACTGTTCGAAAGCGTAGAATTCGCGGGGATGTCGCAGAATGCCTTCTCTTAAATTGCATAATCTTCTGTTCTTTCCTGCTACTAAAGATCTCTTTTTCTTTTCTCCTGCAGAGATCGTATCTCTCTTCTCGTTATTGTTTTGGAAAAATTCGCGTTTTCAGTCGGATAAAAAAAAGAAGACGAAAAATAGGCGTTTATAATTTAAATTTCGAAAATATCGGGGCGTTGCGAGTATTACGCAGAGGCGGAAATTTCATTCCAACGACGTTTTCTTTTTTTTTTGGGGGGGGGGGGGATTGAGAAAAAAGAAAGAAGAAGAAAGAAAAACGATCTCTTTTGATTAATCAATCAACAAGTCGAGGCGAATAACTTGTTTTTCTTGGGATGAAAAAAGATAAAATTCAATCGGGTTTAAAAGTCTCTTTGAATCGACTCGAGCTTCTTTGCCCAACGATCAATCTTGCGCACGATCTTTCGATTCGATACAATAACGTTGTTCGCCCTTTTTTCTTATATTATTATTTTATCCTTCCATTTTGGCTAATCTAACACCGATTCTGCGACAGAATAGATACACGCCTGTTGGATCGACTTGATGAATGTTGAAATGAATGGGAGATGTACACTCTCTGTGAACTGTCCTCTATATATATATATATATATATATAGAAGAATAACTAACACTAGT